GGCATTTATACACAAATCGTGTCATCTGACAATGCGCCAGAGATCCGCCACTTTTGAGCAACCTTGATTAATTGTGCTGCACTTTGTCCAGTTCTAAAAGTGGTGAAATGCTCGTCAGCACACAGAAAATGGTGGCAGTGAGCTTTTGAACTAAAGAACCTTCTATGTGTTTTAGTTCAAAAGCACACTGGTGTAATTTTGTCAGCATTGACGTGCATTTCACTGCATATATAACTGCAAGCAATGCAGCACCAGGTGCTTTCCAAAGCGCCCGGTGCTGCGGTGCTTACATGTGTAAAAATGTTCTTTTAGTTTAGAGAACAGAAGATGGAGAGGGGGAATAATAGCAGCCTTCAACTACCTGAAGGGGGGGTTCAAAAGAGGATGAAGCTAGACTGTTTTCATTGGTGGCAGATGGCAGAACAAGGAGCAATTGTCTGAAGTTGCAACAAGGGAAGTTTACGTTAGATATTAGGAAGAATTTTCTCATTAGGAGGGTAGTAGAACATTGGAACAGGTAACCCAGAGAGGTGGTGGAAGCTCCATCCCTGGAGGTTTTAAAGACCTTGATAGACAGAACTTTGGCTGGGATGATCTAGTTGGGGATGGTCTTGCTTTGAGCAGGAGGTTGGACTAGATGACCTCCTGACGACCCTTCCAGCCCTGATTTTCTATGATTTTCTATGATAAGATGGGATATTGTTCTGAAAATTTGTCATAATTAAAGACGACTAATGATTTCTGTTTTGCAGGAAACATAGTTGGCAGATCTCAAACAATGTTTCCCTGGAAAATAAAAGTTTTATGATACTATTCTCTTTTTTTCCATAGCAATTTACTGCATGAGTTTCAGGGAATTTATCTCAAAAGATGAGTGTGTTCAAGGGACAAATAAACAGAGACATCCCTAGAGAAATACATTGTTCCTATTTTGAGCTGTTGGGGCTTCTTAAACAGATATGAAAATAAAGAAGTGGGATTTCTAATATATAACTTTCTATTATCTACTTTATAGAAAAGACCATTTCTTGATTAAATATACTTGGTGAAAAATGAAGATTGGGTGATACCAAAACATTTCACAAATTCATGTTTGTTTTAGTGAACTGTTAATATAAAATATAAAATTATATATATATGAAGAAACTTGAACAGTTCACTAAAACAAACATGAATTTATATATATAAATACACACACACACACACACACACACACACACATATATATATATATACACACATACATGTACACGTATATGTGTGTGTGTACACATACACACAATAGTTAAAAAATCCCAAATAGTCAAAATATTTTATTTTAAAAAATGTAATTGGGATTTAAATTTAAATATTATTTGTTGTGATTTTTATAAGTCTACCAAATTTCAAAATTTGTTTCAATGTTGTTCTTTTTTTCTTTCTTTATTTTTTTTAATGCTTAACTTTTTTTTTATTTAAATAGTGTTTTTCAGGTGAAATGAAAGATCCCATAGGGTCCAAAACTTTTTTTTTACTTTTTAATTTGCCAAAAAAATTTAGTAAGGTGTTTTTTCTTGAGGCAACCAAAAATATGTATTTATGCAACTGTTAGTGAAGTTAAAAATGAGTTTTAAACATGATTCTACACAGGCCTGCTAGGAAGGAGCAAAAAGCTCCTTGCAGAAGTGTCCTAACTTATCACGCTTTACTCAAGTTCAGTAAGTTATAGTGAGAGCCAACTGAACATAAGTTTGCTGTTCTGTGTGGGGGGCTTACAGCCTGGCCACCCTGGCTACTGGGGTACTCCATCATACCTCCCAGGAGTTTGCCAGAGTGGCCTCTCTTCCCAGCCCCACACATCTCCCAGCTGGCAACTGTTGACAGTGGCTGAGAGGGAAGAAGGGAGGAACAGAAGCCCCCTGTCATGAGCCCCCCCCACAAATTGCTAGCTGGGGTCTTGGGGGAAGGGGCAGGCCAAATCCATATGAGGGGCTCTGTTCCCTCCTCCCCAGCCTCTTGACAGCTGCAGCCAGCAGCAGCATTGTGGTGCAGTCCAGCTGGGGCTGCTGCAGGAGAAGGGCACTGAGTTCTGTGTCCCTGCAGCAGTCCTGGATAGGCAGCGCCATAACACTACCCAGCCTGGGCTGCTGCAGGGACTCAGAGCCTGGAATCCATCCCCCACAGTCTTTCCTTCTTGTCTAACCAGTGGTGCACCACAGCTTGGTCAGGGCAACTGCCAAGGGAGAGACCCAAGACTCCTTCCCCTGCAGCTCCCCTCTCTGGATAGGCCCAAAGCTAGTATAACATCTATACCTAGCCTTTGTCTTAGTGCTTTGATTTTGTTTTTCTATCACTTTGTTGCTACAACGTGGTTAAATCTATATATATACAAACACAGTAAAAGTTCTGTTAATCAACATCTTACAAGCTGGCATGCTCAATTAACCTGCATGCCAGCTTGTAAAATAAAGTGAAAGTGTAACTGCCCACCGTGGCACTTCCGGTTTCTCTGAGCCCCCACGGCCCGGGGAACCCACCCTGCGCTGCGGACCCCCCACAGCCCGTGGGTATAACAGGCTGTGTGGGGCCTGCCTCCCTGTCCCACGGGGCCCACAGTGGTGGTGATGCGGTGGGAGGGGTGGTGAGGTGGTGGGAGAAGCGGCAGCCCGGGCTGCTCAATTAACCGTCATATTGTGTTATCCGGCATGCCTCATTAAAAATACACCCTTGAGATGTGTTTTCAAGACTGTCATTTATGCATGGAGAAAATCCTACATAAAACCCTATAAAGGAATTATTTTATCCTCCATTTAAATTTCTTCTTTAGCTTCAACACTTCCTTAATATATATAAAACATTATCAGTTAGTGGTAGCGATTGAGCTGGTGACCTTTACCAATAATTTGCTCTATCTGTTATGTTTCTGCAGTCTCTTCTCATGGCCACATTTCTTGTCATCCACAAAACGCATTTTGTCAGGATGTAGACTGAGAGTTCTCTGAGGTGGAGGCTAGTCTATGCTATGTCACCATTGCATAGCTCTGATCTCTGATTTTTGCCTTTAATGTGATTGCAATACAAATAAGAATTAATGATGATAGAGTGTAAGTAACCTGTGTTCAGGTCATGGCCACTCAAGTCCTACCTCTAGTTTGCTAGTTCAATGTCAGTTCATCTGCTTGCATTATCACTTTTTAGTTCACAATAGTTTAGTGATTTATGATTTGGTGGTTTTAACCTCACCCTAAAACAGATAAGACTAGAATGTGAAGTGAAACATCCCTTTCTTCTGGTTCAAAATTGAACAAGATCAGGTTGGAAATTTGCACAAGTATTGTTAATACTATTGGTTCTATAGTTATGCACTGGATTTCAGTGTCCAAGGCTATCGATGTGATGCTTCTCTTTGGCATGAAAAACACATATAATTACAATATTTCATCTCCTTCCTCTGTCAGCAGTATACTAAACAAAATACTTTAGAATTACTATAGTTGCTTTTTTGGGGCTTCCAACTCACTGAATATCAGTGGTGCCAGATTGTAATTGCCCTATGTGACCAGACTATAAAATAAAATGTTCCACTTTACTAGTACAGAACTTCGTGGAAAAATGTTGATTATATATTTTTTTTCTCTCTATGCTGTTCCCATAACTACTTTTAATTCTTCTCCTAAGGGGAAGGCAGGATGGAATACAGAAGAGATATTGCAAATCTGAGCCTCCAGTTACTGCTACTAAGTGCTCTTACTGCTGTAATAGAGCTACTTTGGAAATGTTTCAAAGAAAAGATGTTCATCTCTGCTGCTTCCAAAAAAAAACACATTTGTTTATTTTTTAATTGTTGTTCTTTTGTTATGAATAATGGAACGCATTGTGATATTAATGTACTTATGTCATAATGCAGTTAAATGCGTTGACATTTCTTATATATTTCTTTAAGATTATAGCAAAAGAAATTAAAAAAAATATGTACCATGGCCTAATCTATAGTGCTAGCCTAAATACAGGACAATGACCCAGAAAATAATTTTAAAATATACATTGTTATTGAAGTATTTAGAGTAAAAGACATTGATTTATAAGGAAATACAAAATAATTTGGTCTTCACTGCATTAAGGCCAAAAGTTCACCTGAGACTAGATGCACATCAAGCTAGGTTGTTTAAGACAAACCCATTTCTGCAGCACACAAGGAAACGATGTAGTAAGCATCATGCCTGGTCTGCTATGACTCCCCAGTCCAAAGGGCCAGGGACTCGTTTACAGCTGGGTTGACTAGAAGCAGTCTTTGGCATGATTAAGAGGCAAGGCTTGAACTCGTGTTTCTTGATCTGCAGGATACCCATGTCAATCCTCTTCACTATGTAGTACCCAACATATTTAATTAAAGTCCCTTTCAATATTGTACCTATTAGCTTCATATTTCAAAATTAGATAGCATTCATGCCATGCAATTTATTTTCTTTTCCCTTTGGATAGGTGAAGTTACAACTATTCCCAGTCTGTTGTGATGTTAGTCACATAATACCCCAGTCTTTCACTAAGAATCATGTGTATGAAACCTGCCAGTATTGAACTAACCAAGGTAAATGCTTAAATGTATTCTGGTTATGGAGATGTCCCATTTCAGCCTTTAAAATAGTATAAAACCAGGGGGTTCAAAAAACAGAGAAAAAATGGTTGAGGAAACTATGGAGGAGGAAAGGTGAAGGTTCAAAAAGTGAAAAAAAAAATCCTCATTGCATTTTATATTTCCCTGCAACAGAAGGAAACTTGAAATAAAAATTGTATTACTGAATCAAAATTCATAAGCACTTGCAATCAAAGGGGTGGGGAAGTTTCAGATGAGTTGGCAATAATATTGAATCCCAGAGAGAATCCTTGGACAATATATCAGAATAGCCTCCTGCTTTAAGGGCCCAATCTGTCAGTTCTGTTTAATCATCAAACCCAGATGAGAACAGATCAGGTGTTTTCTATAAATGATTTTGAAAGCAACAGATAAAGAAGCGGTAGTAGGAGGTTTGCTTCCATGGCAGGCTCTGAAGCAGAGACAGGTAAGCAGTCTGTTTTGACTAGAGAACTTGTTTTGTTTTGTGTTACTTTACAAATTATTGTGTTTGAATGAATAAGGTGTATACTGAGGGAAGGGCAATTCTGGAGACAGCATGGTTTTTTCTTAGGCTGTTGAAGGAGCTTGAAGAATATAACTTATAACCATGTAGATCAGTGTTTTTCCCCTCCCCAACCAGGGTCCCACAAATGTTTCTCATGAACTCACAAATTCTTATGAAAGCTGTGTCTTTCAAGGGTGCCACAAATGTTTGGTACTGTTAAATGTGCAAACATGATTCACAAGATAAATGCAGAGATTGCAAACAGGAATCTATAGTGTTAAAAACATTCTGACATGCCATGTTTCTGAGTTCTCTGCAGCAACAAAAGAATAACTCTTATTGTTCTTCTGTAACAAAACACCCAGTGAAAACCAAGAGCTGGCACTTTCTGAGGGATGCCTTTAGCTTAAAAATGTTTCGGAGACATGGATGTAAATGTTCAAAATGGAATGGAAAGGTTGCAACACTGAGCTTTTTACTTGCAGGTGTCAGTTAGGTGTGCTTTGAGACTATCTACCGAATAGATCCCCTCATGTGGAATTTTTTTTTTTTTTTTTTTTTTTTAATCCTGTCTATACTTATGGACCAATTTGACCTGCCCATTTAAGGTTTAGATTTTCTTAGCAATGGATTTGAAAGCAAATCTACAATTTAATGCCCACTTCAGCAAATCAGTTGGTAAAGTACATATACATGATATTTAACTAGTAATTGTGGAAAAATGTAAATGAATTCTGTAACACTTAAGAGAATCTTTGCTATCATGAAGCTTATGTTCAATAACACTTAGCTGATAGATATATCGGGGGATGATAATTTCTTTCACTAGGAATCGCTGAGTGTTAGGGATAGCTCCATAAGAGGTACAGTGGTATGGACACCCCCCTCTTTTCAGTCAAAAGTGCCATGGAAGCAGCAACTAGGAACTTTTTTTTTGGTCCCCACATTGGGTAAAAATACTACTTCCTTTTCTTGCTCAGAAGCACTTCTCTTCCCCTTCCTGCCCCTGCCCACCACTGCTACTCTCCCTGGCTGCCTAAGGAGTTGGCGTAAGGCTCCAGAGTCACTCCTGCCCACTCCAGCTGGGCACTGAGGGGGAGCTAGGCTCGGCTATGAACAGTATTAAAGGCAAGGGGGTTCCTCCTGGCCTGGACCATCTAGTTATTCTCTGCCAGTCTGGAAGCAAGTGCAGGGGAAGAGACCCCAACTGATGCTACCACCACTATCACTGCTGGCTCTAGCTGAGCCTATATAGCCCAGCTGCAGACAGTGGAGACAGCAGTAACACTGAGACTGGCAGGGAAAGAAGAGAGATGCCACTGTGTATGGAGGGGAAAGCAGAGAAGGTTCTTACCTGATTGATGAACCTAAAAAAGGCTTCTGCTGCTGGGGATCTGCCTGTCTTGGTAGGAAGGGGAGGCTGGAGTGGATGTGCAGTCACCCCTGCAACTCCAGTCCCTGCTCCAACACTCCTTTTCAAAATCCTGAATCCACCCATGCTGACTCTGATTTACACACTATTACATCAGGGTAGATGATCACGGTGTTCCTTCTGAACTAGAAATTATGTGGGCTATGGAAAAATGGGCTATAGAAAACTCAACACAGAACATCAACATTTAAAAGGAGTTGTACAAGAAAGGAAGTCCTAAAAGTAAAGTTTCTTTTTAATATGAACCTTGACTTAGTCTATATACAATATGTCCAAAGTAGCTTTCCAATTCAAACCTGTCAAGCACTATTTTATTTTTTTTGTTTAGATAATCCTAAACCTGTTCAGTAAAGCTCAAACTAGCTCAGTTAAATCTGCATCCAGATCCTAATGCCTCTAGGTGGTGTAGATTAAATTATTACCACTAAAATACTAACACTCTTTTAACTTGGATTTCAGGACAGGGTCATGTTGTAAAATCATCTTTTAAGGTAGGCTTTAATGGACAATGGGAGTGTCTACATGTTTCTGTACGATGATGTTGCTATCGCACCATGCTCTAGTAATTCCTTTTGGATGTACTAAAGCATGTCATAGTGTGGGTGGTTACTGTACCATGCACATGGCAGCGAAGTCTAACTGTGCACCATGTCTCCATAACGGCGTACTATATCTGGGAGCACACTGCTAGAGGGACATAGCTGCTAATCATGTGCAGTTCCATGTGATTGCTACATTGCCATAGGGGGACGTGTAGCCGCACCCAGCAATTACTTTCCATCTTTCTGCCAAAAATACAAGAAAAAAATTTACAAACAAAGTTTATCTCCTTGGGGAAGGGTGAACTTGGGACCGAGTAAGGAAAAATTCATTCCAAGATGTTTCATATTTGTGAAACAGTAGATACAAACATTTTCCAGAGTTTTGTTTTTGTTTTTTTTTTTTTTCCCCTAGACCAAAACTAACATTATAAAAGGAAGTTAACAATTTGGGTACTACTAATTATGATATTTCAATTTCTGCTGCCCCTGAAACCAACATTAGTATGCATGGTTTTTAAATTTCCAGGCCTGTGATTGAATACGAATTGACTGCAGTGCTGAAGAGTGAATAGGAACACATACTGAGCAAGGTATTGTAGATCCTTCTGAAAGTAATTATAATCCTGCTCTATAGATTTCACATAATATTGCAATTTTCTATCTTTGTTAAAGAAGATTGAGAAATTTTCATTTGTATGACAGTTTTCCAGGGAGTATTTTCATTGGTTTTAAATGCTTTCCATCTAATCTTCCGAAACTAAAGAAAAGTATCAGGAGGGGAATGAGTATGTGAATAACTAGACAAAAATCTTAAAATGAGCAGGAAAAATGGCACATTAGTTCTATTTACCACTTACTGGGCACATTTACATGTGCACTTTACTGTGGAGTAGACTAATTAGCTTTCCAATAAAGAATCACTGTCAACTAGGGGTGTGCAAAGTGGGCCCTACTCCAATCCGATTTGGATTTGGCGCGGATCGGGGACGGCGATTCAATTAATTGATTTGGATCAGTGTCCCTGATTCGATTCAGCTGAATCTGATGATTCGATGCTGACTTAGAGAATCAGGGATTCGGACACAGGCACAGCTTTAAGTGTGTTTTTGTTTTTTGCTTTTTCTACATGCCTTGAGGTAGCAGGCATGGCTTGTGAATGCTGGGGTGCATGCAGCATCCCACAGGAGTACAGGGTTGGGCGTGTCCCTCCACGTGCTCAGTGGCAAACCCGGAATTGGACTAGAAGTACTTTCAGTCCTCTTCCGGGGAGCACACTAGGGGGCCCCCCCTGCACCCTCCTGGCTTGGCGATCAGCTGCAGTGGGACCCTGGGTGCCCCCCTAGACCCAGGAGGCACCAGTCACTGAGCTGGGGGAGGTACAGGGTCCCCCATGCAAGCTTCCTGGTGGACCTGGTTGTGCTTCTGGTCCACTTCCGGGTGTGCTGCTGAGCACACTGGGGAGCCCCTTTGCTTCTGTGGAACATGTGCCCCAGCATTGCAGCATTCATGAGCCCCTGCTACTTAGAGGTATGTAGAAAAAACATTTAAACCTGTCTCTGTCAAACTATGAATCAACTTGATTCGGAGAGATTAAAGGTTTCTTTGATTTCATTCAGATTAGGAGCTTTGGCTGCCAAATTGGGCCGAATCTCTGCCAAATCTAATTGGGGACAGAAGCCTCGGACAGCCCTACTGTCTACATGTGTGACAGTATTAGGGTACATTAAACTAAACTAATTAGTTTAGTGAAACAGTACTATCTTATGGCAAAGTACTTTTACTGTACCAAAACAAGTGTGTAGATGGAGACCAGGGCCACAAATTGTGACTGGTCAATCCAGCCAGCCAGGAGCCTACTCTGCTCCAGCTCAAATTGCTACTGTCCCAGCTGCACGTGTAGGTGGTGCACCTGACAGCAGTTGACTTCAGTTCAAACTGCCCTGGAGTTGATTGTGTCACGTTAATTGTGCATGTAGACGCATCCACTCATTTTGTATTCATGGAGGACATGAGAACTTTGCTATGGACTTGAGTAAAAACAGTGTTCTGTAGTATGTGTCTGCTTGAATCTGCTTCCATTAGAGTAACAGTTGAGAAGTTAAACTCATAAGAGGTCTTTCTCTGCAGCCATACTGAAACACTTCTGCTATTAAAAACTAGGTATTAACTGTATTGACAGTATAACTCAGTTTGGATACTAGATATGAATAACTTCCTACAGGCTTGAGTCTCATAAGCTTGTAATACTGTGATTTTTAGCAGTGGTTATTTTCTGACTATTATATGTGATCTTGAAATACCATATGGCAGTGGACAGGGGAGAGAGGGAAGGACCTTCAGTTTTGGTCTATAGGGCTATGATTCTATTTAGTTAGAAAGTAGTACTCCTATTTTGCATAACATGACTGCACCTGCATGGAAAAATGATGCATTCAGGTCTCTACTTCATTCCAAGAAGACTGAAAAAATTGGAGGGAATTAGGAGGAAAAACCACAAGGATTGTTGAGGAATAGAAATGTATTGACTTACAGTATTCTGTAAAGATCTTTGTTCACCTCCTCTAGAAGTATCAGAGGGCACTGTAGTTTAATATAGACAAAAGAGTTCTCTGAGGAAAATGACCCATTGTTTCTGGTTCTCTCACACACAGACAGACAAGATCCCTGGATATTGGGAACAGAACATGCTACTGGCTTTGCAGGTAGGCAAATCCTGATCTCCTGACGGATGGACCTGGAAAATATACTGCAGTGAGAACCTCAGGATTAGTCTCCTTCCAATCTATTCCTTTTTGGAGGGAAGGGGCTACCCAAGTGAAAACAGGACATACTGGGAGCCCACATATCTAAGAGGTGCATACAGTGATATAGGAGAATCACTTAGCCGCATACAAGGGAAAATAATTAAAGTAGGGCTTCTGGCAAAGGTTCATTTAAAGGCACAATTGGATCTGATCTCCAATCCCAAAACCTCCTGCTATGACAAACATACATCACACCTCTTGCCATAACATACATGGTAGGACATGTGGGTTTTTTTGGGATTGAGGATCAGATCTCAATTGCTGCATACTAGCCAGTGTAAGGGAAGCCTAGGATCATGATCTCTAGTTTCTCTTGCTGGTACAGGGGGAAGTCAGGTGCCTGACAATAAGCTGATCGTCAGCTTGGCCAGGGGACTACACTAGGGTCTGTAACTGACCCAGGTGTGGTCCCCACTGGGCCAGCAATCGGCTGAGTATTGGTTGTGTCCAGGGACTGCACAAGGGCCTGGACCAGCCTCAATGAAGTCGCACTGAGTACAAACTGGTAATCCGTTTCAGTTCCTGATGTTGTCCCCAGGAACCACCAGCTATGGCTGTTTAGCACATGGGTTTAAAGTCCCTGGCAGGGCAAGCCCTTCAAACTTCTCCTGCTCCCAGCCTTTGGCTGGGCCAACAATCAGCTGATTCTTGGTCACCATCCACATGTTAAATTTAAGGCGCCATAAAAATGTTCTAAATTATTTATGGAACATCTTTATGGCTCATTCCACCTTTTTATGATGCCTTAAATTCAATTCATACGTATTGCCCTTCCTATTTATGCTGTGATTAACATGTTAATCCCAATATAAAAATAATGTGTAGAGAGGGCCTATGAAAAGGAATATTCAGGCTGAACTACTTCCTGATAATACTAATACATAGTTGCCTAATTATTTGTAAGTAGTGGATTCTAATTAATCATTCTGTAAATGTGATTTTTTTAAACAGGACAAAATCCTAGTAAATATCCAGAGTTAGATGGACTGGACTGTAGGGAACCATACTTTTTAGGAGGCATTAGCAAGAGTCACTCGGAATCAATTGTTGGTTGTGAAGAAACCTGTGCTAAGCTATGTTGATCAGTAAGAACTCAGAAACTGAATGAAACAGACTCCCTGGCTCTGAGTCACTTCTGAACGATGCACAGATAACTTAAAGGATCTTCCATGTCTAAATTGGAAATGTTGACTTCTTAGATCTTTTCTCTTGTCTTTAATCTCTTAACTTGTCTAACAGTCACTGACAATTTCTCATGGGGTATAAGGAGTGGAAAACAGATGCTGTTTTCTGTGCATGTTGTACATGATTCCCTGACTGCCTGCTGGAGGGGCAACTAACATTTCATGAATCACTTAAAATGCAGTTTTTGTAGAGTTGAGGCATTCCATGCAAATTCTTTCCCACTCAGGGAGAGCTGGAATGAGAACCTTGTTCTTAGTCTAGTTTCTTTACAATTCTTGACATTTTTATCTATAAACAGATTTTGCATCTCCTGAACTGAGCCACAGGAGAATTTCTCACACTGGCACTAAGATAAAATCATAAGGCTACTTCCTCAGAAGTCTTAGTATAGGGAACAAACCAGAATGAAAGTACTGTGGAGACTAGGTAGTATTGCAGGGCACAAGGCACCCAAAGGGAGATGTTCTGATTTAGGTCATGTATAGCCATTTACTTTCTCCTGGAAGAGTCTCTGCTGTCCTAGGAGAAAACACAAGTGTACAGCTATTCAGGATTTTTCTGCCAGAGTAAAAATGGCTACTTAAGGAAAAAAATAACTTGGAAACAAGCAGGTTTAAATTACTTCCAACTGAATTTCTCCTGGGAGAGTCAACTTCTTTACATATTCTCTCTTAAGAGAAGCACAGAACAGTTCTCTGGCATCTCGGGGTGCTTTTCTCCTATATCCTCCCTCTGCTGTCTAAGTTCTCCTCTAGCTGGGAGACCTGCTGGACTCTGTTGCTCCATGGCAGAAAACCATCCCACATTGCGCTGCAGGGAAACTGATGATTCTGGTTCAGCTAATCCCATCCGCCCTGTGCACTACTGCCACCTGTCACCAGGTAGACTTGGGAGCCTGCAGCACATGCTGGGATGCATGTACAGGGTCCCCTGGATGTGCAGCATCTACACTGCAAGCTCTCTGCTCTTCAGAGGCTCAGCACATGCAAGTCTGTTTAGGTGTCTTTGAGTAAATTTTTTTGTACCAAGTGAACAAACCTGAGAGAACTCTCCAAGATTAGTTGAACATGTATATGCAGCCTTACAGCTAACTTTTTTTTGCCAAGTGTCTCTACCCCTGGGGGAGCTGATCAAGGGATTAATTGCAGTTTGACATTTTAATTTTGGATTAAGGGTTTTGGGCAATACATTTCAGAATCTCAGACTTTATATCTGTTCTTTCTTTCTCCATTGGTGGAAGTATAGGTGGGAGGTTATCAACCTTAATTGGAAATTAGTCGGGTTGATGAAGATGCATATTTTTTCCTGGTATAACATGGGAAAACAATTTAATACCTTCTAAAGTCTCTCTCTTTAGATTAGCTCCCTTTTTCTTTCAGCTTCCTAAATGACTTAATCCTCAGCATTGACTTTCTTTCTCTATCACTTATTTCTTCATGTGATTAAAGGTAAAACTAGATTATTATTCTTCTGAATTCATTCGACCTCTGGGCTATTAAAGCTTTCACTCTCTCCCACCATGTAGACCCCTTCTTCCTGGGAACTATAAGGTGGCAGATCAGCATGTACAGGTGCCTTCTATCAATAATAGCAATTTGTTCTTTTTGCCTTTCCTTTGACCATGACCCTCTGGGTGTGCTTCCCTCCCCTCCCCTCTCCTCTCCTAATTCTGCTAAATGTAGTGGACTTTTTAAGTATCTTGGCTTTAACTCTGTCATAACTAGGCCTAATCTAATAAGATCTTGACAGAATCAGCAGGATGGGATGCATAATGGCAGCAGGGGAGCAGTCAAACTAGTAATATGCTTTCCTTTTTTGCTACCTCTTCCTTTCATTCTCAAAGTGTTTTATAGCACAGTCTTTTCTCCCCTCCCTCCCGACCATCTTCAGCAAAAAAGGGCAGGCACTCTTAGCATACCAATTAAGAAAATGCTTTAAAAAGAGGTATTTGAACTATATATATATATAACAAAGAAAAGAGCATAGGTAAGTGTAGCTGATATAACAATAGTTCCTTTTAGGATATTGCATATCACACTAGCTGAGCCAGAAAGGATTCACAATTGTGTTCGGTCTCTCAGGGATAGGTAAGGGCATTAAGCAACAACCTACATTGGCTAGTCCTGAATCTCAGCCAGGAGTAGAGCTGGGATTTGAACTGATTGAAATTTTTCTGCTGAAAACAGGATTGTATAGAATACTACTTTTTGGGGTTTTTTTTTTTTTTTTCCCTCATTTTCAACAAATGATGACTTTCACCCAAAACAATAAATTTACCTTATTTTTGTACTTTGATTTTTTTGGGGCTTGTTTTCAAAAGCAAAACAAAATCATATCATTGAACAAAAATGCAAACCAAACTTTTTTTAAAGTTTATTTTTGGTATTCTGACACTTCCTACTAAAATTTATAAAATCTCTTCTAAAATCTTTATTGGAGAAAACTTACTTGTCAGTCTGCTTCAGGGCAATATATGTCTTTACTCATGTCCCAAAATGTGGGTTTACTTTTATCCCACCTAATTTTAGTGTTCATGGGATAAACATTTTAGTAGCATTCTTTGAAACACATTTTGGGTCACATGTGGCTGTCAAAATACAGCTGCATAATCTGGTCCCAATAATCCCTCTATCTCTATATATTTGCATGGATTTATAAAGGAATCTTGGGGGCCTATTTGCATGTTAATATAGGCATTTCCTGGAGCTTTTTACCTATGGATTATCTGCATGTTAACACCTTTACATGGCTTAAAACACTTGTTATGCAGCTTGTAGTTATGCCACTCCAGGGCAGGATTCTCTTAAGGTGTGGCCACTGCCAACAAATGTGCCACTCAAACTGAAGGTGTGACTGCAAGATGGCACTAAGCTGATCAACATTTGTGCAACTCAGTGTAATGTGTAACACAATCTAGCACTAAATGACAGTGGAACTATGTTCCCTGAATAGCATTTTATTCCGTGACTCACTTCACTGAAATGAATGGGACTGACTACTTGAATAGTAAGAATCTATAGAACTGACAGTAGCAGAACTGAATCGTCTGATTATTATTTCTCTTCTCTAATCCCCTCCCCCCCGCCCCCCATCAGGATTTCAACTGAATTTAGTCACCCTATTCTCCCAATATGTTTATCATAACTTAACAAAAAAGAAGAATCGCCATACTGAGGCTACTTTGTATTTTAGCTATTGTAGATATTTCCTGAAGAAAGAAAATAGTCCAAGTTAAACACCGAAGCATTCAAGTATAAGTCAAGTCTAATAGGTGGCAAATTCTGAATACTTTAGAGCAAATTGCTGCACTATATACTGCAGAAACGGGGGAAAGTGTATAGTCATACTCATGAATGATCTAAATCAAAGATGCAAACAAAATAGCTAAATGTGTCCTTCTGCTCTTTTACAGAACGTTTCCAGGTTACTTTGAGATTCTTTTTCGGTTTGTTCTGCTTTTATATTCAAATTGCTGTTTTGAAATGTGGTCCCAAATGTAATTTGTGCTTGGCCTACTACAGATTCTCACATTACCAGTTTTATCAAAGCAGTTCTAAACCATCACAGGTGCTTTGGATGTTGACTTTCATTTGACTTCTATAATTTAGCACCTCCCTTAGGTTGTCAGTGAATGGAGACATATTGCCTTGTCACTGCCAAGTGTTGTGTGTTGTTTGTTTTGTTTCTTCCTGCTTCCCCATGTTGTCTGAGCACCATCAAGATCTCTTTCCATGCTGTGGACCATGTAAAAAATCATGTCATGGAAGACTTTCCCCATTCATGATCTCATATCATCTATGTGCCAGCTATAGTACATACTGAAGTTATACAAGGTCAACTAGATATTACAATCAAAATCTCTCTGACTTCAGAACATGAAAATATACAGCTATAAGCTCTTTAAAAAATCAAGTTCAATTTAAAAAGTATCCCCTGGTACTTATTTTTCTTTTCATTGACTCTGGCTTCTCTTGTATTTCTTGCTTCTCTTCAAGGTTTCAGACAGTCTTTTTTTTTTTTTTTTTTTTTTTTTTTTTTTTTTTTTTTTTTTTTTTTTTTTTTTTTTTTTTTTTTTTTTTTTTTTTTTTTTTTTTTTTTTTTTTTTTTTTTTTTTTTTTTTTTTTTGGGGGGGGGGGGGGGGGGGGGGGGGGGGTTGAGCAGCTGTGCTATTATAAAATAGTTGATGGCAGCCTCATGGGTGTTTTCTTGGTAGTGGGTTCTTATTTCCATTCCTCTCTTGGAAATAGCAGCAAGCATAGAACCTTTGACTAGGGGTTGCTACTACCAGAGATCTCAAATGTTACTTTCCTCAACAGAAAAGATGGCCACTCAGTTCTGGAAAGCAAAGGGTGAATCACTGGCTGGAATGGTCCAGACAGGTGTTGAAGGCTGGATTGATGATGATGACACACTTAACTTTCCTGCTGCTGCTGCTGCTTCCTTTTCTGCTTTTCTTTAACGTCACTCCTTTGGCTCTATGCTTTTGAATTGGTCTTTCTGTGGTCAGCATACTGTTTATTTTATCCTGCTAGCATATTCTTTTGTACAACAGACCCATCATGAGCACAGCTCTTAATTTGGCCTTTTTCCAGTGTCTTACTTTGGGCATTGTCCATTGGTCTCCTTTCATTAACATATCTAATTGTTTCATTCCTCTGACTCAGCCAGTTAGTGCGAAGTTCAGTTAATTTGAGCCAATTAACAAAACTATTATGTTGTATTAGAAAAACTACTCGCAGTGAGAGGGGGGAAAAAAAGAAAGAAATGGTGTGAGCAAACTCAAAGCCATAAGCTTGCTTGCAAAAGGCAAGGCATCTGATATTGCAGACACCAGCAAAATGAAAAGTTCAGA